GTTTAGGGTTTAGGGTTTAGGGTTTACAGGTTGCAAATGCCCAGCGCCTCCTCAGGCCTCCCAGCAACCAGCGCGCGCCGCGCAACACTCCTCACGTTGAAGCTGAAAAACCACAAACCCTAAACCCTAAACCCTAAACCCTAAACCCTACCTACGCCCTAGGCCGTAGGCCTCCGCATGCAGCCCTCAGCGTTCGGCTAAGTTTTGGCAGGTCTGTTTTGCGCCAAAAGCTGCTGCTACTGCTGCTGTTGCTGCTGTTGCTGTTGCTGCTGCTGCTGCAGTTGCTGGTGCTGCTGCTTGCAATACCTTGAGGAAGCAAATCCACAACAGCGGTAAGCCGGAGGTGGCTGCTGCTGCAGCAGCACTGAGACGGCGCCAGCGACCTGCAGCAGCAGCAGCAGCACAAGCAACAGCAGCAACAGCAGCAAAAGCAGGTCGTCACGGTTTTGTGTCGTTTCTGCGTGGGCACTGCAAGGATAACCGCAGCAGCACCTGCTGCACGAGGTCTGCCGGTGCCACTGCTGCTGCTGGTGCTGGTGTTGCTGCTGCTGCTGCTGCTGCTGCTGCTGCTTCTGCTGCTGCTGCTGCTTACATTCTTTTGAGAAAGCGGCAGCTGATTGCTGCTGCAGGGATTCAATTCGGCACGACGCAGCAGCAGCCACCTGCAGACAGCTAAGCCGAAACGAGGCGCCGTTCCTGCTGCTGCTGCTGCAGCTTCTGCTGCAGCAGCTGCTGCTGCTGCTGCTGCTGAACAGCTCTTCCCAACTGCCACATTTAGGGTCAAGACTTAACGCTCGACTGTAGGACTTAAAGAAAGGGTTCTCTTTTTAGGGTTTAGGGTTTAGGGTTTGCAGCACCTGTAGGGCAGATCCTTCCGTGACCCGCTTACAGCGGTGAGAATGTTCAGCTCTGCAGCAGCAGCAGCAGCAGCAGCAGCAAACCAGCACCTGGGAAGCTTCGCGGCATGACAATAGCAGCAGCAGCTGCAGCAGCATCTGCAGCTACAGCAGCATCTGCAGCAGCATCTGTAGCTGCAGCAGCATCAGCAGCTGAAGCAGCAACCGCAGCAGCAGACCTACCTTCCTCAGGAGACAAGAGGTAGGTACCCACAAGTTCAGTTGCTGCAGCAAAGGCAGCAGCTGTCACGCTGCCGCTGCCGCTGCTGCTGCTGCTGCAGCAGCTCCGAAAAGCCTCAATGCAGAGCTGCGTGAACTTGCACTGTCTATACACCCTGGCGAGCAGCAACTGCTGCCAGGTAAGCACCTGCAGCAGCAGCAGCAAGGTCGCGAGCGGGACGAACCCTGAATCCTTAGCCCTAAACCCTAAACCCTAAACCCTAAACCCTAAGCACTCACCACCACGCCTGTTGGTGTCGCGTTACAGAGCAGAAGCTCTGCGGCGTCTTTGTGCCTCTGCAGATGCACCTGCAGCAGCAGCAACAGCAGCAGCAGCAGCAGCAGCAGCTGGCCATTTAAAAATGAGAGCAGCGAGAGCAGCAGCAGCAGCGACACCATCAACAGCAGCAGCAGCAGCCCCCACGGCAGACACGCCAGCAGCAGGCGTCGTTGACTGGTCTAGGATAGCAGCAGCAACAGCAGCAGCAGCAGCAGCATCTGCTGCTGTTGCTCACCAGAGTATGCGCCTTCAGCAGCAGCAACTGCGGGTCTGCTGCACATTGCTGCGAGTACCGCTCCAGCAGCAGCAGCAAATCCTGGTGTCTCCCTAAGGCATGCAGCCGCCATAGTGAAGCTGTGAACCACACACTGCTGCTGCTGCTGCTGCTGCTGTTGCTGCTGCTGCTGTTGCTGCTGCTGCTGTTGCTGCTGCTGCTGTTGCTGCTGCTGCTGTTGCTGCTGCTGCTGCTCAACAAAGGCTTGCCGCATGCAAGTGAACGAAGCTGCTGCAGTTCTTTCAGGGGCTCTGGAGCTCCTGCTGCTGCTGCTGCAGCGGCTGCTGTCGCTGGTGCTGCTGCTGGGGAAGCGACGGAATTCGGTGGAGCTTCTTTAATTGAGAAACGCAGAAGCGACTTCTGCTGCTGCTGCTGCAGCTGCTGCTGCTGTTGCTCCAGCACACGCTGCACGCAAGGTGAGTAGAAGAAGTGCTGCTGCTGCAGCTGCTGCTGCTGCTGCTGCTGTTGCTGTGGGTCCGGGGCCCCCAACAGCAGCAGCATATCTGCAGCAGCTGCATCTTGACAGCAGCACAGTGAAAGGGTTTCCTGCAGCCACTCCCCACAAGTCCCGTTGGCTGTTGCTGCTGCTTCAATCTGCTGCAGCAGCAGCGCGTCTTGCTGCTGCTCAGTCTCGTGCTGCAGCAACTGCTGTACTAGCTGCTGCGCCTGTGACTGCAGTAGAAGCAGATGCTGCTGTGCCTGTGCCTGCTGCAGCTGCTGCTGCTGCTGCTGTTGCTGCAGCTGTTCAACCTGGGCCAACAGCAGCAATGCATCTGCTCTGCTGTCGAGCTGCTGCTGCTGCTGCTGCTGCGCAGATAGTGCACGTGCTTCCAGCAGCAGACTTGGCGGGGCCGCGACTTTGCATGTGCTGCTGTTTCTTCCCTTGCTGCTGCTGCTGCTGCTGCAGCAGGGGTCTCTCGACGGGTCTAGAGGGTCTGGCAGCAAAGGACAGAATGGGAAGTCCACTGACAGCTGTTGCTGCTGCTGCTGCTGCACCCGCTGGTAGTGTTGCTGCAGCAGCATCTGCCGCGATTGCTGACTGAAACGCTGTTCGTCTGCAGCAGCAGCAGCAGCTGCTGCTGCTGCTGCCTGCAGCGACCCTTGGGGAACCGACGCATGCATTGTCTAGCTCCTGCTCCAGCCGATTGTGCTGCTGCTGCTGCTGCTGCTGCCGGCACTGCTGCAGCTGTTGTTGCGCATAGCGTTGCTGCTGCCGTGGTTGCTATTCCAGTTGCCGTTGCTGCTGCTATTGCTGCAGTTGCTGCTGCTACTGCGTCTGCTGCTGCTGTTGCTCTCCCCTATGCAGTTGCTGCTGGTATCCCGCAAGCCGCCACTTATGTTTCCTCCAGCTGATACTGCTGCTGCTGCTGCTGCTGCTGCTGAAGGCCTGCTGCAGCAAGCTGGCTGATGCTCAGGGCTGCTGCCTCCGGTGTAGCGGCTTCTGCTCGCCAGCACCCTAAATCCTGCATAACAGCAGCAGCAGCAGCAACTGCTGCTGCTGCTGCTGTTGTTGTTGCTCCGGCTGCTGTGTGCATTTGCTGGTGAGGCAGCACATGCGCCGCTGCTGCTGCTGCTGCTGCTGTCTTTAGAGAAAAGCAGCAGCAGCCCTCAGCAGCAGCAGCACATAGTCGCAGCGAAGCTGAAACCGCTATAAATTTCTGCTGCTTCGCCGCTGCTGAGCAGCAGCAGCAGCAGCATCACACTCGAGGCCAACTGGTGGGGTCGCTCTTTGGGGCTGACTTCGACTTTCGTAGCTGATGCTGCAGCAGCAGCAGCAGCTGCTGCTGCTGCTGCAAGCCAACAATATTTAGTGCCGATTTATTCAAAACGCTTAGGTCATCGACTACAACACGATTAGCAGCAGCAGCAGCCGCAGCAGCAGCACCTGCTGGGTCCTTGCTGCTTCAGCCTGGCGAACTTGGGGAGCGACCAACTTGCAGCAGCTGACTCTGCAGCTCTAGCAGCAGCAGCAGCAGCACATGAAGCATATTGTGACATAGGTGAAAGGCTGCAGCAGAAACTGTCGCGCTGACCCCGCTGCTGCTGCAAGGCAGCAGCAGCATCGAGAGTCACAGCAGCAGCAGCATAGCAGGAGCAGCAGCGACAGCAGCAGCGAGACATGCACACAAGCTTAAGCGACAACAAAAGCACTCAGAGCAGCAACAGCCATAGGTGAGCTGCAACCCAAGCAGCAGCAGCAGCAGCAACAGCAGCAGCAGCAGCAGCAGCAGCGGACGGCGGCGACAAAAGCAATGGCACCTTCGAGGTCATTGGCATTTGCTGCAGCAGCACTTGGTAGGCGTCTTGCTGCTGCGGCTTCAGGCCGCATAGGTGCAGCAGCAGCAACAGGCGGCAGCAGCAACAGCAGCAGCAGGCTGCTGGCCTTCAGCAGCCGCTATCCCAGCTTTTGGCCTAGGCGTCAGAGCCAGCGGCGGCAGCAGCAGCTGCAGCAGCAGCAGCAGCAGCGGCTGGGACAGGCTGGAGCCCCTGCCACGACATTAGCAGCAGCAGCAGAAGCAGCAGCACCGGCGGCAAGAGCGGAAACTCCAGCAGCAGCGAGCGCAGCAGGAGGCTCTGATGAGCCAGCAGTTGCTGCTGCAACAGGAACTGCTGCACCAGCAGCAGCACCAGCTGTACCACCAGCTGCAGCAGCAGCAGCATCAGCAGCAGCAGCAGCTGCTGCTGCTGCCTCTCATGCTGCAGGTCTGGCTTTGCTGCAACACTACCGGCAGCGCAGCGCTGCATACTTTGGGCGTCTGCCTGCAACAGCAGCAGCAACAGCAGAAGAGGAAGCAGCAGCAGCAGCAGCAGCAGAAACAGTCTCGAGCCTCCTCAGCTATGCAAGGGGATTATCAGCAGCACCTTTTATTGTCAGAATACCAAACACAAAACCACCAGCAGCAGCTGCAGCAGCAGCAGCAGCAGCAACGCCTCCTGCTGCTGGCACCGCGCAGCAGGAAGGCGCACAAGAGCAGCCGCAACTGGAGGTAACTTCATTCGGGGGAGTCACGGGGAGCTGCTAGGGTTTAGGGTTTAGGGTTTAGGGTTTGGGGTTTAGGGTTTAGGGTTTAGGGTTTAGGGTTTGCGTTTAGTTCATGAACAAAAGGAATCGGCTGGCCCAAAGAAAGCGGCGCAAGAGACAAGGCGAAAGAGTTTCTTTGAGATACAGGTAGCAGCAGCAGCAGCAGCAGCAACAGCAGCAGCAGCAACAGCACCAGCAGCAACAGCA